CATTTTTTCCCCTCACATATTTTCACCTCCTCCTCTTCTCTGACTACAAGCAAAATCCCTGACTTTGTTTTGATTTTCTTATCACAAAGGCGTTACGAGCCTTTCTCATTGGCCCAGTTTTGCCCAGCAGCACCTTCAGAGCCATCTTCATCCATCCTCAGAGCCATCAGCCATTGTCTTTGCTGGACATGGTGGGAATCTTCCAGCAGCTTCTCACAGGAGCCGTCTTTGTGGCCCCCTGCTACCAAAAACCAGGCTGTGCCAAACCAATACACTCCACCCCTCACTTCTGCCCTTAGGGGGTTAGTGACCCACTCTGCAACAGTTTTGGGAAGATTGTTTGCTCATGAAAGGGATCCCACGGAATAGCAGAAAAAAGACTCCATGGGTGAACAGAAAATGATGTCCAGTGACAAACTGGCCAAACCCCCATGCTCTCCCTGCGCTGTTGGTGGGAAGGAGGGAGGGCCTGAGGGGGAGAAGGTGTTTTAAGGGCTTATTTTATTTCTCATTATCCTCCGCTGACTCCGTTAATAATTTACTTTATACCTTTAAATTTAAATATGTTTTGCCCTTAGAATGTTTTTCTCTTAATTCTTATCTCAACTCATGAGTCCTTCATTAATTTTTTTCCCTCTCTGCCCAACTGTATTAGGAGAGGGTAAGCAATGATTTTTGTGAGTGCCTGGCCAGTGTCAAACCACAACACCTGGGCAGCCTGTTAAAATGCTCTGTACTTCTGGTACTTTGCACCATTCTGTGGCAGGATATTGTCCTTGGTTTGTAAGAAGAATGGATACCACTGGGCAGTGGGCTGAACTGCATCATCTGGATTTAATGAAACAATAGTCCAAAAAAAGCACAAGTTGTGTTCCCATGTTACTGCATGGTGAAACTTGTATCAGATGTTGCTCTGCAACACAAAAGGCCCAGAGCCACTCAGTATTAACTCACCTTCACTTCCATAAGTGCATTTAACTCCAGTGGAAAACAAAAGCTGAAATATCTTCCTGAAAGTGGGCCAAAATGACTGTTTTATCATGATCCCTTCTTGCTTGCTTTTGTTTGTAGAACTATAGGATTGCTGAGGGGTGGAGGGAGAGGTGATGCATTTTCTTGTTATTGATGAAAAAGGACATTATTTTAACTGGGCATAGAGAAAAAGAGAACTCTTTTCTCCCTGTGGTAACAATAAAAAGTTCTCTGGCTTTTCCACCTTGATGCTACAGCATCACTGGGGCTCCATGGGTTCATAATCCAATAGCATTTGGTGTCATGCAGATTCCGTGGATCTCTTCCAGGTTTCTGCTACCACAAAGAGTCAGATCCCCAACACACCTTCAAGAATGGTGATTAAGGAAACTGTTTCCTAAAAGACAATATATTTTTCACCTTTCTTGCCGTAACTTAGCCAATCAGCTAATTCCCCCCACCTGGTTTGTATTCATGGCTGATCACATGTGCCTTTTACCAGCTGGTATGTAAGTAGCTGATCAGTGTACATTCTCGTTACTTGAACTAATGTTTCTTTATGCCGTGAGGGTCCTTAATATGTTGCATGTGGTTTTCATCTGGGGCTTTTTGGGATCTTTTCCAAGAAGTTTCAGGTCATTGCCTCAAACCATTCTCAGCTGAAAAGGATTGAGGTAATAACCCACAATATCTTGGGGGTGGTGATGATGGGGGCATGATAGGGGTGGGGGGCAGGCAGGAAAGCAAAGAGAGAATAAAAGAGAAGGAAGGAAGATTGGTTTCTATAATGCATTGAGGACAAGAGAATGAAAATTGCATGCAGGATAGATGGAAGGAATGTGACCTTTGGCCCTCCAGCAAAGGTGTCATAAAATGTATTGTATTGAAGCAATATGTCAAAATGCAAGATTTTAAGCAAGGGAAGCAGATGGCAGAAAACCAAAACCTCTGTCACCACCACAAAGTGGTGGGACTGATCCCCAGCCCCTGGTCGACTTTCGCTCACAGAGCTGAACACTAATTAGTTAAGAGGTTTCATTGGAACAATGGCTGGCCTTTTAGGATGAAAGTGAAACAGAAAGTTCTGTATGTTAAGAAACCCCTTTAAAAGCTTCTGGCATGAAAGGGGTGGCTTGAAAAGATCATGAGGAATCACTGGCAAAGGAAGATAAGTTTTAAGTTTAAATGCAAGTTATGTGACCTTATATTCCATTTCAGCCAATGCTATACCTCACTCTGGTATTCACTGCTTTTTCTTCACCTCATCTGAAAATTGGCTACAGAAACTACAATTTACATCCACTTTGTGTTTTCTTGTTGAGAGTCAGCTATCTACTGACCCAGCTAAATGAACCCAGGCTCTGCCAAAACTGTTCAACACCTACAGCACTTTTCCAGCAGGAGAAAGACAACCTTGCAGGACCTCAGGAAAGGGATGTGTGTGTGTGTGTGTGTATTTATAGCTCCATCACAGGAAAATTACTTTAAAAGTGGGCTTTTCCAAAGTTCTGAACAGTGTGTTCCTCTGTTGGAGTCAGAGGCACAGATAGTATTCCCTTATCTGTGCTAACAGGCTCAGACACTCAAGAGAGCACTGAATTTAACCTAAGACCGTGGAGAAAGTTCCTAAAACTAAGCAGAGAAACTAAGAATGTGAGTGTATAAATTAGATAGAATTATATTAAGTTACTGAGTGAGAAAGTTAGGGTTTAAGTTATATTAGTGAATAAGAGACAACATGGAGGATTTAGAGTGTTGTCCCTCTCTGCTTCTTCCTCTTCATATTCTTCTTCTAGGGTTTTTGGGTAATATTAGGTGATTGGATGGAAGAATCCTCATTGCTGGACACAGGTGTCAGGTTATTGGGTTATAAGTGAAAATAAGTTACTTGGCATTTAATTATTGGGTGAATTGACACTTAAAAGACCTTGGAGAGCTAATTGTCCCTCCATTTTGTAGCTTGTTAGCCTAGTGTACATAGCTCCTCACTCTCTGTAAATATGTAATATAGATAAGGAAGAATAAACAACTGAACCCAAACACAAAAGCAATCTCTCGTTATTCTTGGTCCTGAGGAAAAGAACTGAGCTATCAGCATCGCACCTGACGTTCCTCCTGCTTTCTCTTGGGATTAGAGGTGCTCAATAGTTTTAATGACCAATAATATGTGCCTCAGATGCCCTGGATATTTTGAAGATTTAACTGAAAAAATGTCTACAAAGCCCTTTCAAATACATCAGTAATGCTCCATTTGAAATGAATGAGGTTGAAGCCTCCCTCAATGGAAAGCTCTGGGTGGAAAAGGCCATATCAAAGAAGCTTTGGAAGTGGTTTAAACTACTGATTCTGCCAAAGGGTAGATGGAGCTATTCTCTTTTGCTACCTTGTTTCCTTGGTGTCCTTCCTTTTGTTCCTTCTCACCTATAGAATTATTCCCCATTAGTTGGGGAAATTTGACTGCTGGTACTTATTGGTTGCTTGAGAACAAAAAGAGTTTGGCTGGGCCCATGGAGAAGAGAGGGCAGGTAAAAGGGAGAGTGGGGGCAGCTGCCTAGAGGGGGCTGGTTTCTTGGGCTTCAGCACACTCAGAGCTGTTTTTGCTTGGAGAAAGGAATTTGCCATAACCCAGGCAGAGCTGCTGCTTCTTTTTCTTCGTCTGTGGGCCCCCACACACCCTGTCCTGCAAGGACAACATGCAGTGCCAGCTGTCACCGTGGAGCTGCTGATCCACCTCATCCCCCAGCCCAGGATCTCAGCTCATCCCTGCTGTTCCAGCTGAGTGTTCCTCAGAGCCCTGCAGGAGCACCGGCACTGACTGCCCCAGGGGTTTGTGAAGCAAAGCCTCTCCTCCATCCCTTCCCGTCTCGGCCCAGAAGGCTGTCACGGGGTCCCTGCTGCTGTTTTGTTGGTAATGCTGTAGTTATTGTTGTTTGTGTGCCTTGTTATACACACTGGTAAAGAACTGTAATTCCTATCCCCAGATCTCTGCCTGAGAGCCCTTCATTTCAAAATTATAATAATTCAGAGGGAGGGGGTCTACATTTTCATTCCAAGGGAGGCTCCTGCCCTCCCTAACAGACACCTGTCTTCTAAACCAAGACACAGAGTAAAAGTGGTTCCTTTCACTTCAAAGGATGGGGTCAGCTGGCTGGATTTTGAGGAAAGTGATAGGGGTTTCTAAATTTTCCTCAATCCATCCGCCTCTCCTACAAGTGTTCATTAAGGTATTAAAGCAATATCATGACAATAGATGGAGGTGGGGAGTGAATTTTACCCTGCAAGTCTTGGATTTCCAAAACCTCAAGGTGATTCTGCATATGTACATCAGAAGACTTTCTGGCAACCTTGTTTTCATAAAGTATTGCAAAACCCATCGTAGAATCACATTCCCCATTTCCTTCCCTCTCCTTCAACCAAAGCAGGGAAAATTCAGTTTGTAGCCCTTTGCCTCTGTTTTGTAAAGCAAAACATCGCATGCAGCCAAGCATTGTTATTTCATCTGTCTCTGAAGTGACAGGAAGCAGTGCACTGAACTCCAAAGCACCGAGGAGCTCCACATTCCTAAACGTTCGCAAAGATGCCTCTCCTTTCTCCACTCCTAGTCCACACCATCTTTACAGATAATATATTCTCTTAACATCAAGAAATAACTGCTATATAATTCCTGTACATTAAGGATGAATATCTTACAGCTTTCTGAAATTTGAATCAAAATATTATGTTTTGGATCCAAGGACATTTATTTTCCTTCCACTTCTCCCTTCTCCTGTATTTCAAGGTGCTTGTGTCATCACCTGCCAGTACTATACAGCACAGCTATCCAAAAAATCATGATCCCACCCTAAGCAGTTATGAAATCAACACAAAATTCAGGAGGTGCTTCTGGGACAAGATGCCTCTTGCTTTTCCTTTGTCTTCTGGTTTCTACAAGAACATCAACCAAGTACAGACTGTGATTTTGCAACTCTGGCCTTTTGACTGATTGAACATTCATTTCTGTTTGAGTGATGAGTGATTCCCACAACAAATTTCATTGATGACACTCCAGAAGATACTTTTATTGACAGAAAATCTTGTTAATCACTCCCTGCTTCCCATTTAAGGGTCCTTTCCCCAGAAACCAAGGCGTGTTTTCTCCTTAAATGCAGGATGGAATTTCAGGACATCTCTCTACTTGTTTATCCTTGGCTTCAGAAACACTGTAGGACGTCATTACATTCACACATGAAAGATTTGCTGAAAACAGGTAAAATAATTTCCCAGAGTGAGTACTTGTGCTTTGTAGATTTGGGGGAAAAAGAGATCTTTCTGTTGTGTCAGGCAGTCTGAAACCTCTGTCTCTGGTTCTGGACACCCTTTCAGCAGTCATAATGAAATCCACATGCTTTGGACTAATATCTGAAACCAGAATCATGCTAAAAAAGCTGAAGACAGACCAGTTTCATATTAATAAAGAGTTTTAGATCATCAGTAATCAACTCCAGGAGTGATTACTAGCTCATCTGACCTGTATATTGCAGGCTGTTTAATATTACCGAGTTACCTGCATATTAAGCTGAGTAATCTGTGCTTGACTGCATCTCTTCCTGAATAAAGGAACCTGCCCATTTTCAAAGACTCAGGAGGTATCTTCCACTTCCTCTTGTTTCTGTTCCCAGCACAACTCTACACACTTTCACACTTCCATGCTTTTATAACCTGAATTTGTTGTGCCTTCTTTATGAGACATCTGCTTACATTAGGTTTGCTCTTTCTCCTTTGCATGAGAGACCCTGGTAATTTGTATTCTCTTCTACAAGATACTTTATATAGTAATCAAGTCAATTTCTCACTTGATGGCTAACAGAATGAATATTTAAGTTTCTTGTTTTAAGATATTTCCCTTTTCTCTTACTTTTTCAGTATCACAAGCATAAATTCTCCACAAACTTCTTCAACCATCTCTAGAAATCAGGTATCAACACTACCTGAATTATCCAGGTCCTTTTTGGACAATGAGTCTGCATTGGGATTATTTTTATCTGCTGTGGGTTTGCCTACTGTGCAAATGAAATCTGTTGGGAGAAGTCCCACTCCTGAGGCTTGGAGAAACGTGCTGCAGGCCTGAAAAAAAATAAAAACAAAAAACAATTTATGAAGAAATTGCTTTGTAGTGAGAGATTTAAATCATCAATCTGCTCAGCTACCTAACACTAATTCTAGTGATGATCCTAATAATTTAATGTTCACAGAAGAAAAATCTGCAAAGCTTAAATGAGTCATCTCTCCATTCTTGCTTTCCAGCAGCTTTCCCATTTCTCACATAGAAAGGACAAAGCTGAACCAGAGATAAGGAGCCTTTCTTTTCCACTTTAAGTCACATCCCATAACAGTAAATACCTCTCTCAAGTGAATACCTGAATAATATATATTTTTTAAAGGAAATAATTTCTCCTCTCTTTCTGTTCTTCACTCCTCTTTCTCCTCAGTTTCTAATTTTCTTGACAAACGGCAAATTTGAAAGAAAGTACCACAAGGGCTCATTCCACGTCTGTTGAAACCACAGGAGTTCTTCAGACAACCAAAATCTGTCCTGAACCAAATGTATCTGGGATAACAAGCCCCACAATTCCAGAAGTGCTTCACTATGGCCTAGTTAGTTTTCCTGACAAATCAGCTTTGAGATGAGGTCATGTTTGAGGAATTTTATAGGCATAAATAAAGAGGTGTCTTCTTGGCCAGGCAGGGCTTTGTGAAGAGAAGCACTGGAGTGCCACAGCTTCTTAATTTACTTCCTCAGGAATTAGGGTTCAGACATTGCATGCTGAGAGATACCCAGAGGTTTTGGTGCATCACCAGGAATCACCTGCTGATATCTAACTGCCTGTACAAAAACCTGTACATCGGGCTTTCCAAATTTAAGATTCTGAAGAACAAACTTTCTGGGCTATCACCAGCATGTGACTCTCTAGGAGTATCATTCCTCAGTCTTTCCTCTGCAATCTTAGAGATTTGCAGGGAGATCTCTGGATCTCAAGTACCCTCCACAAGGAGAGGTACTATTCATCTGCCTTCACTCATCTTAAAATATTCTTGAACAATGCATTTTCCTTAGCAGTCTGTGTAGCAGAGTATTATTTTCTTCTTCATGTATTTCTGTGCTTTCTCTGGTGAATCTCTTTATTTGTTTATTGAATCAACATTTGAATTGGCTTCTGCTTCTTTTCAGAGGCGTCTGAATTATTCTTCCTATGCTAATCTTCACCTTCTTTTCAGGCCCCACACTGGTCTGTGATGCCCTTTAGTGCTACTGGGACTTAACAAAGATGAATTTAAACTGCAAGCTCTTCCAATTTTTTCCAGTTTTCTGCAGTTAAAGTCTCTGTGCATTGTAAGATCACAGTCACAATTCTTCTAGGTATTTTACATTCCCTCTGAGTCAGCTGAGCCGAGATCAGTAAGTTTAGTAATGCCTCTTCCAACATTTCATTCCACCCATACCTTGCAAGTACAGCAGTGTTGTGATTTTCTTTGTCTGAGATGGTCTGCCTTCAGATCTTTCATTTTGCTTTTATCTACAGCTTTGGGACAGAGTTTGGGCATTACCCAAGTGGCACCATGCACAAATGCTTATCCTCCAAACCCTTGCTCACAATCAGCAATCCCCCTCTTGCTTTCTCCTGAGTTTTAAGCCATTTAACTTCCAGTCTCTTTTTATACTTCCTGTCATCTAAGTGTAATTTTCTTTTGTTACTACAGTCTCAAAATGAGACTGGAAATAGGCCACAAACCATCAGTTTTGGCACTTTTGTCATTCATTCAGTCCAAGTACTTGGCAACTGATAATTTAAGCCTCAGCATGTCCCGTCTACTTCTGTAAAGTTGAGTTTGCTGCAACATGAACTGACTTTCTGCTGTGGATATGTCAGCCCCATGTGCTATGACAGGAGCTGGCATTCCGGTGGCCATGAAATAACAGAGTTCTCAACATTTAGTGAAGCAAGGAGTGGCATCAACAAAACTTCCATTCTGGACTTCTGGAGGGCAGACTTTGGCCTATTCAACAGACTGACTCGGACAGTACCTTGGGAAACATCCCTTAAAAATAAAGGGCTACAGGAAGGATGGATATATTTTAATAAAGAAATCTTGAAGACACAGGAGCAGACTTACTTTATGTGCTGAAAGATGAGCTGGCAGGGTAAATAACTGGCCTGGATGGGCAAGGAGATTTTGTAGGAACTAAGGGAAAAAAGAGGGTGTACCTTTGGAAAGAAGGGCAGGTAACTCAGGAATTGTTTAAGGATGTTGCTAGGTCATGTAGGAAAAAAATAGAGAGGCAAAAGCCCAACTAGAACTTAATCTGGCCACTTCTGTGATGGATAATAAAAAACAATTATAAATACATAAATAGCAAAAGGATGGGCAAGAACAATCACCATTCTTTATTGGATTCAGGGGAAATATAGCAACTAAAGAAGAGGAAAAGGCAGAGGTACTTAACACCTTCTTTGCCTCAGCTTTCAATATCAAGACAGGTTATCCTCAGGACAACTAACCTCCTGAGCTGGTAGATGGGTACAGGGAGCAGAACAGCCCCTCTGTTATCCACTTAGATGCTCACAAGTCTATGGCACCGGGTGGGGTCCATCATAGGATGATGAGGCTGCTGGCAGATTAGCTCATGAAGCCCCTCTCAATCACATATCATCAAGCCTGGCTCAGTGGGGGTGCCTCAGATGACTGGAAGCTGGATGCCTATCCACAAGAAGGGTGAGGAGGAGGATCTGGGGAAACTACAGGCCTGTCAGCCTGATCTCAGTGCCTGGCAAGATTATGGAACAGGTCATCTTGAATGAATGTGATCACACAGCATCTACAGGATGGCCAAGGGATCAGACCCAGCCATCATGGAATTAGGAGGGACAGCTCCAGCCTGACTGAACTGATCTCCTTCTATGACATGGTGACCCACCTGGTGGACGAGGGAAAGGCTACCTGGACTTCAACAAAGCCTTTGACACCATTTTCCAGAGCATACTCCTGGAAGAGCTGTCAGCCCATGGCTTGGACAGGTGTGCTCTTCGCTGGGTTAGGAACTGCCTGGATAGCTGGGCCCAGAGAGTGGTGGTGAACCGTGCTGCATCCAGCTGGCAGCCTATGATAAAATCTGAAAGTACCTTGGACCTGATTAGTGTAAGAGACTTAATAGTCAAGATGCCTTGGCAAGAACATACAGAGCTTTGAAGACTGCAAGAAGATTGAATCAAGTAGAAGAGATGTTGCAAAAATGTATGTTTGTTTGTATGTTTGTATGATGTTTAACCCAATCATTGTAGTAAAAAATTACTAGCCTTCCTAGAATGGTATATAAGCTTATATGGCTTCTGTGTAACCCACAGTAAAATCAGATTCTCAGTTGTCCCTGTCTCTCTCCATCACTGATAGCGACCAGTCACTAATGGTAATTAGTAATACATTAGTAATGGTGACCCCCAGGAATCAGCACTGGGGTCAATCCTGTTTGATATCTTTATTGCTGACCTGGATGAGGGGATTGAGTCAACCATTAGCAAATTTGTAGATGACACCAAGAAGAGAATGAGTGTGGATCTGATGGAGGGTAGGAGGACTCTGCAGAGGGGCCTGGACAGACTGGCTAGATTGGCTGAATCCAACAAGACCGTGTGCTTGGTCCAGCACTTTGGCCACATCAACCCCGTGCAGCACTAGGCTGTAACATAGCATGGCATGGCACCATGGGCTGGCAACAGAGTGGCTGGACAGTAGTCAGGCAGAAAGGAAGCTGGAGGTGCTTATTGATGTCAGGCCAAACATGAGCCAGCAGTGTGCCCTGGTGGCCAAGAAGGCTAGTAGCATCCTGGCCTGTATCAAGAATAGCGAGGCCAGCAGGAGCAGGGGGATTTTTCGCCTGCACTTGGCACTGGTTAGACCCCACTTTGAGTCCTGTGTCCACTCCTGGACCCTCAGTTTAGGATGGACATTGAGATGCTCGAATGTATCCAGAGAAGGGCAACAAGGATGATGAGGGATCTAGAACACAAGCCCTGTGAGGAGCAGCTGAGGGACCTGAGGGGGCTCAGACTGAAGAAAAGGAGGCTCAGAGGAGACCTTATCACTCTCTATAACTCCCTGAAAGGAGCCTGTAGTCACCTGGGGCTCAGTCTCTTCTCACAGGCAACCAGTGACAGGACAAGAGGACACAGTCTCAAGCTACACAAAGGGGAGGACATCAGGAAAAGATTCTTCACAGAAAGACTGACTGGGCAATGGAATCAGCTGCTAAGGGAGGTCACCATCCCCAGAGATGTTTAAAAAAAAAATACTGGATGTGACATTTAATGCCACGGTTTAGTTGATAAGGTGGTGTTAGGTGATAGGTTGGACTTGATGATCTCTAAGGTATTTTCTTACCTAGTTAATTCTGTGATTCTGTAAAAGTATCTGTATTGCTTCTACTGCTGCATTGGCCAGAAGCCCTTCTTAGGACACATTTATGAGGATGTTTTACAGTCCAGGGCTGATCTGAAGTGTGTTGAACTCAATGTCTTCCAGTAACTCAATGCTAGTTCCACGGATGTTATAAAGCACAATATCAGGTCTGGAGTGGGATGCACAGGCCTAGGTGCCTTTTCTTTGATCAGTCCCTAACTTTCATTTACACGAAAGCAAGTATATTTAGCAGATAACATCTCATCCAACATGGTATTTTGCTCTTGCAAGTCACCTGTTTTAAGTCTTGATTCAGCCATACCATTGCAATATCAGATGAGGGTAAGAGCTGCTGAACCTGGTAGCCTGATAGGAGTGAGATCGTTGCAATTTCGTGTTCCCACATCCAGCATGTGCACAGATACACATATACACATTGTACAGATATACACATACATAAATATACATGCAAACATCTAGCCATCTTTCTCCAGGGAACTGCAGGACTGTCAGCCTGACTTTGGTGCGAGGGAAGGTGATTGAGCAAATCATCTTGAGTGCCATCACCCAGCACATGCAGAACAAGCAGGGAAGCAGGCCCAGCCAGCATGGGTTCCTGAAAGGCAGGTCTTGCTTGACCAACCTGATGGCTCTCTTGGCAATGAGACCTGCTTGGTAGATGAGGGAAAGGCTGTGGTGTCAGCACAGACTCTAGAAAAGCATTGTCTCCTACAGCATTCTCCTGGAAAAATTGTCTGCTCGTGACTTTGACTAGTGCACTGTTTGCTGGCTAAAAGCTGGCTGGATGATTTGGCCCAGAGAGTGGTGGGAAATGGGACTAAATCCATTTGGCAGCCAGTCACTTGTGAGGGTCACTGGGGCTCAGTATTGAGGCCTGTCTTGCGTAGTATATTTATTGATCATTTAAAAAGGGGATTGAGGGCACCCTCAGTAAGTTCCTAGACTACACCAAGTTAGGTGGGAGGGTTGATGTGCTGGATGGTAGGAAGGCTCCACAGAAGGATCTGTGCAGGATGGATCCATGGGCCAAGACCAGGGGTATGAGGTTCAAAAAGGCCAAGTGTCAGGTCCTGACCATGACTATCTAATTATTCTATCTAATTCACATATTCCGCTCAGATCTCCAGTCTTGGTGCAGAGTGATTGGAAAGCTGCAGGGTGGGAAAGAACCTGGGGGTGCTGATCCACAGCAGCTGAACATGAGCTCAGGGTGTGCCATGGGGGGAAGAAGGCCAATAATATCCTTACTTGTGTCAGCAATGGTGTGACCAGCAGGATGACAGAAGTTATTTGAATGAGTGCACCCCTTTGCTGGCACTGGTGATGAGAGGTGAGGCAGTGGGGGGGGCTCAGCCTGGAGAAAAGGAGGCTCAGGCAGGACATTCTCACTATTTACAACTCCCTGACAGGAGGGTGGAGCCAGGTGAGGGTTGGGTTCTTCTCTCAAGTAACCAGACAAAAGGAAATAGCCTCAAGCTGTGCCAGAGGAGGTCCAGGATGGATATTGGGAAAAGCCTACCTGTGTGAGACAGTTAAACAACAGCAGAACTGCAAGGTCCTCCTTGGAAGCAAAGCTACAATTTGCAGCCAACATTCTCCTCACTCTGCTCTGAGTGGTGTCAATGTCCATCACACGTCTGGCAATCACATTCACACAAATGAGATTTCTGCACATAAAATAAGCTGAACCACAAATGCTCACTGTTGATAAAAAACTAAACAAACAAAGCAACAAATCAAGGGAAAGAATTGTCTGGAACATCTAAAATGCAGGATCTTAGTCTCCTCATGAAATTAAAATTTCCAGCCTTGGAAAAATCCAACAGAAACAGAAAAATTCCTCTAACCTTTGCAGAAATATGTTCCCTTTTGCCAGTAAAAGCCATTCCTTCAAAGCACCATTTGGATAATTTGCCTCTACATCTTGTTCATCTGTCACCTCATAGGCTTCAGATTTTTTTTGTGTTTTCATCGCTGGTTTGTATATAAGAAAATGAGTGGGGGGAGAAAAAGGAGGCACAGATTTTGGCAAGAATCCTGGCCTGGAGTGAATATAAAACTCTGTTTTGTTTAACTGATCTGGTTCTGTGTGTGATAGAAGGGAAACAAATAAAGATAGTTTTTTTTAAGTGAGTGTGAAAGAAATTCCCCAGACAGACAAATAAAGAACTTTTTTATTGCTAATAACACATGTTCTGGCATGAGCTTTTTCACATTGTTAACCACCTTGAAACCAGTGAGTTTAGTTGTTTTGGGGTTTGGTTTGCTCGTTTTTCTTTTTGAAATATTTCTTCTGGCTTTTTAATTGTTACAATAAGGGGGAAAATGGTTTTAAAAATGCCACCTAACACACAGACACACAGACACACACCCCAAAATCCCATCTCTCCTCTTGCTGTGTATTTGGGAAACCTGAAGAGTGAGAGGATGATTTCATCCCTTCTCATTTTATAAGAAAAATCTCCACAATGGCCTGGAGTGGCTTTATCATAGCAGATGCATGTAGGTTTAGGCTAGACTGACAGAATGCATGGTTTCATCTGCTGCCATCTCACTGGTTGACATTTGTTTGATCTGGGTGGATCTGATTGCAAAGAGCACCTCGGAGTTGAAAGAGAAGGAAACGTTGCAAAGGAAATAAGAAAGTGCATCAACTATCCTTCCTGCTTATGTCTACCAAAATATATTATGCATTATGCATCAACTCAAGACAGAAATGTACATATCCCTATTCTTTGAGCACACCTTAGACAAGGAAAGGACCAGAGCACTGAATCACAGAATAACAGAATAGTTCTCATTCCACCCCCATGCCATGGGCAGAGACACCTTCCACTAGACCAGGTTGCTTCAAACATCATCCAAGCTGGCCTTGGACACTTCCAGGAATGGGGCAGCCACAGCTTCTCTGGGCAACCTGTGCCAGGGTCTGACCACTCTCACAACCAAGAATTTCTTTCCATTATCCCATCTAACCCTGCTCTCTCTCAGTGACAACACAGTTCCTCTTGTCCGGTCCCTGCAGGACCAAAGTCCCTCTCTGTCTCTCTTGGAGCCCTTCTATGCACTGGAAGGCTGCTGGAAGTACTCTGCTCAATGTTTTCCATAGCCCAAATGCTTGTGACTGTAAAAGTGTTCAGTTCTTTTCCCCAAGATCGGGATTGACAAGCAGAGAGATGGTTTTGCATTTGGACTTAGGATGTTTATTTTACCTTATCTACATATTTACTACATTTTTACAGATAGTAAGCACTTCTAGACACTAACCTAACAAGCTACAAATGGAGATCTCGGGCTCTGTCCACAAGGCCTCTTAAGCTTAAACTATCCAATTATCAAATGCCAACTAATTTATTTTTACTTTTAACCCAATAACAAAACACCTGTGTTCCGCACTGTGTACTTTACTGTCTAATCACCCAGTAGCATCCAAAATCCATGAAGAAGGAAGAAAAGCAAAGACAAACCAACACCCAAGAACTCCA